GAGGGGGGAAAGGGACCCGAGGGGGGTAACGTTTTCACGCAGAGGGTGGTGCGTGTGTGGAACGAGGAAGTGGGTGGGTGGGGGGGCTGGGTCCAGTTACAAACATTTAAAAGGCATCTGGATGGGGGACATGGATAGGAAGGGGTTTAGAGGGATAGGGGGCCGAATGCTGGGCAAACGGGGGACCGGGTTAATGTAGGGTATCTGGGGTCGGCACGGACGGGGATGGGCTGAAGGGCCTGATTCCGTAACGTCTGTAAACAGGGGACCGGATTAATGTAGGGTATCTGGGGTCAGCACGGACGGGGACGGGCCGAAGGGGATACCATGAGAGAGGTTGGTAAATCCGAGGGCAGCTATTATGTTTTATCGCCAAACACTTGCTCAGATTTCATCGTCTTGAGGGACCTGGGCATCGATGGCTGGGACCGGCGTTTATTGACCGTCTCACTCCCGTCCCTAGTTGCCCCCCTTGAGAAGTTGGTGGGGTGGGGGGGTGGGTTGAGCTGCCTCCTGGAACCGCTGCCCTCCCACCTGCTGAGGCCAGACCCCTCAGGGAGGGAGTTCCAGGGATATTGACCCCCGAAAGAAAGGCCCGATCTATTTCCGAGTCGGGACGGGGAGGGGCTCGGAGCAGGGGAGCCTGGGGGGTGGGGGGAGGGGTGTCCCCCATGTATCTGCTGCCCCTTGCCCTTCCAGACGGTAGGGGTATCCCGGGTTCGGAGGGCGCTGCCTGAGGATCTTTGGCGAGTTTCCCGCAGACGGTACGCACAGCTGCGGCCGTGCCTGAGCGTCTTGTAGATGGTACGCACTGCTGCGGCCATGCCTGAGCATCTTGTAGACAGTACGCACCGCTGCGGCTGTGCCTGAGCGTCTTGTAGATGGTACGCACCGCTGCGGCTGTGCCTGAGTGTCTTGTAGACAGTACGCACCGCTGCGGCTGTGCCTGAGCGTCTTGTAGATGGTACGCACCGCTGCGGCTGCACCTGAGCGTCTTGTAGACGGTACGCACCATTGCGGCTGTGCCTGAGC